TATATATATATATATATATATATATATAGAAGGAAGTTCACACGAGTACTCTCTATTAAATCTGGATTTATTGTCATTTTTCCTCTGTTCTTTGCAAGCTTTTATTTCGCAAATCTTTCTTTTCATCCTGTAGATTTTAATAACGACGGATCGTAATATAATGGAACATATTGATGAGTCAAACTCTAAATTCATTTTTAATTTTAAAGATGTAGAAAATTATATAAATTGTTAATCACATAATTTATTACTTTTCGTTACATATTCTATCAATAATTTTCAGCAAAATTTTGGTCAAATATAAGAATTAATTAAATTTATAAAATTTGTGAAAAATAATATATTTACAATTATGCATAATGAGAAATGTAAACAATTTATATATTGTTCCATTTATATAAACAAAACTACTACATTTACAAATTACTTTTATAAAAAAAAGCTTCAGTGGAGAAAAATCATCATGATTTATTTTTCTTAAATTTCTCTGCTTTGCAAGGCCTTTAATTTAAGAAAAATCATCATGATTCATTTTTCTTAAATTTCTCTGCTTTGCAAAGCCTTTAATTTAAGATCATTGTATCAATCGAAAGAAGATTACAGATTCGTGAACGGGCCGCAGTATCGAGAAGCGAATGATTTACGATCCGCGTCGGCTGTATCCCTTTTCTCATCGTAAATTGAAGTTAGCCGTCTTTATGGTTCGCAGATTCCAAGGCTCCATCTGCACGCCGTGCCATAAAACTAGCTATACATATATCTATTTTTCTCTTTCCTTTTTTCCCGCATTGATCGATCGAGTCGTCGAACCACTTCCGTTATATATAAAGCTCGTGTTTTAGACATCCACTCGTAAGCAGCTGTTTTTCAATAGTAGAAAGGGGAAAGGCAATGAGACAAGCTGGCCACAACTTTTCGGGGTGAATTTTAGGATACAGTCTTTAGATAAGAGGTCAATTAATCGTGAGTAGATTCATTCGATCGTATAATCGATCGATCCTAAACTATTGATTATACGTGATCTTTTATTCCAATTAAAGATATTGTGTTATTTGACACATGTTAAAATATAAAAAGGTTTATAAATTTAATGGAGTTTGTATTAAAAAATGAAATTGCTATACAGTTGATGAATGAACAAAGATATTGTATATATTAATGAAAAATTTAAAATAATTTAATTTTTGTACACATTTTTGTTTAATCTTTTATTATTTAGAAAAAAATTTAAGTACTTTATAAGAACATATCATTTTAAACTATATACATTTTTTATCGAAAAATTTATTTGGAATTTTAATTCCAATGCAATATCATGATCATATAATCGTTTTTTTATTATTTTACTTTATAATCCATATTTTCTTAAGTATAGGTTAATCGTTTCATTACAAGCTTTGCTCAGAATATCTCAGAAATAATTAAAGAGCAGTTTTATTTCCCTAATAAGTTTGATGCTTTATGTTACGTTATCCTACTTATTAAAAGTACTCCA